TCAACTTATGTGTACTAAGTTAAGAGGTGCAGTTCTCACACTTTTGACTGGGATTCGCTGATCCAAAGTAGGAAAATAATCAATTAATTAGACAATTACCGCTCTTTGGCATTGGTGTCAGGGCAGTGGCTCCATCTAATACTGACCGATGTGGTTGTCGACTCGCAAACGTCAACATTGGCCGTCTGACCGAGTGAAATTGGGTGGTGAACCGAACCCAAAGGGACTATCGAGGCGGGTTGAGCCGATACCTGAAGCAGACGGAGCCGGATCAGAGGAGCACTTGAAGGGAGGGCGTTAGGCGTTGGTAGGGCATCTAACGGATCGATTTTCATCTGCTCCTCTACACCAGACTCACCTACAGCCTTGAAGAGGACTGTAGGCTCTGCAATATTTTCCGCATTGGATGAGGGGCAAGCCTTAATTCCAGGTTTTGATCTGGCATCATTATTACCGGCAACTGAATGCAGCCTGCAAATTAAATGGGAGTCTGGAAGATGAGCTGCCGTGAGTTGGTAGACAATCCAATGCAACGCTTTGGCGGCCAGAGCGGATTTCGATGGCCTCTTCTCCTCCTCCGACATGGACCGTTCATCATCAAAATCCTCGGAACTGCCAGGATCCAGGCTGGCAAGGTCAGCAAGATCCAAGTCCAGGTCATCCCCTATGTCCAGACCATCGCACAGGTAGATGCCTTGGGGTCTTGAGAACTTGGATCGTGCTTCTTTAGAATACTTACATTTTGGGGTTGGCGAAACGTTAAAGCGAGACGAGCATGGCTCTTCTGTTGCAGGATGAGTGAGGCGTATGTGTGCAGCTCTGGGGATAACTGATATTGAGCTGAATGTCAAGGATGGCGCAGAATGGGGTTGAGAATGGTATCCTTGTGTAACTGTAGAATTGACCAACTCATCAGGATGAACATCCGCTTGAGTAACCGAAGTCTATGAATATAAGGATCGCATAATTTCTATTCAATTATAATATCCTACTTTTATCATTTTTAAGTAGAATTGATTTTAATTTCAAAATTACAAGATAAATTATCTTTAAAAGTGCTATACCAAATGATATTCAAATTAAATTCAATTTGAGATAGAAAAACCAAAAGGTTGTGGCTTCAGGTTTGATCGTAGTTTCTTTTCGCCATATGAAAGTGATTTGACCCCAAGACAGGTCAAATATAAACATGCACGATTTTAAGGCAGACTTAAGGATGATAACACAACCGTTCGGCAGAATTTTAGAATTAACTTCACTCATCTCTTTGACATATTTACAATGCCGGTGAGACGCCTCAAAATGAGGTTAGTCCAAGGCCTGAACATGGGAATTATCAAAATTGCTATAGCAAAGGAGATCGGGCAAGTTGCATTAATCTACATCGCCCTGACAACCCAAACGGGTTGCGAATTTAATTTGTTTATTTGATAGCAGCATAACAAAGACTCATCACTTGCCTCTGACGAATTATAGCCTGTGATAAGAATTGCAAGATCCAATGTAGATGCTGACTTTGCATGTGAAACTTCTAAAAATATCTAAAGTTTAAGGTTCGATACATAAAATGTTCACGGCTTATTGGTATATTGTGAAAAAACTGGTTAGATATGTTCTATAGTGCATAGAAGACCACAGCCAATCAAGCCCCAAATGCTATCATTATTTTATTTTCCATACGAGACGGAAAAATATCTGATTTACGGTATTATTCTATAGCAATGCAAATACTTATGCTGAAAAGTTTTATTTTGGATTCTCCCCTTTACCATGGGTATACGCAATATAGCATTCGTAAATTTTGATGAATAAAGTAAGGATTGGGTCAGTACAGACTTTTAGGGAAAAGGTTTTGAATAAAGCATCCATCGGTTTACTATTGCTGCAACGGTTATAGGATATCCTTCATGTTTTAGGGGAGTTTTAATATGCATAATCAATCTGTTTTAATTAAAGATATGAAGACCAAGATGTTGTGGCCTCTGGCATGATCGCAGTCTCCTTTCGATTTATAGAAGTGGGTTGTCCTCGTTGTCGCAAGTTGGTCTTGTTTCCAGGGAGACCATGTAGAACGCAC